CTCCCCCCCACCCCTCCGCGTTTTTTCGTGACAGGCTGAGGGAAGGTTTCCTCTACCAAAATATTCCTAGGTCAAGGATTTTAGCCAGGTCCGCCTCACTTGCTGTCGCACCATAAATTATTCCGCTAATGTTTTTTTTTTAAAAAAGCAAAGCCTAACGTATGTCCCCTATGTATTATTTCCCTCCTCCTCCTCCCCGCTCGCCCCCTCCCCCCCAACACTTGACTGCTGATTTTCTGAGGTGAAAATTTTCCTTTGCAGGCAGCCACGATTCATTTGAAGGACACACAAATATCGGATCAGAATAGGAGGCGAGCTTGGAAAAGCAGGAACCCACCCAAACAGCAGCAGCGGCAAGAATCCACTCTTCTGCTCCTGCACAATTCAATCTGTACACATACGCCCAACACTACCGAATACTAATATCTACTAGAGATTAAGAAAATAACAAATCCTTACGCTTTTCCCCGCATTTACATAGAAAGGCCTTGTAAGAAGGGCATCTGCATAGAGCATATTACTCATACATACAGTTCTCCAAGGCAGCAGTACAGGTGTGGGGAGGGAGCCTTCCTATATAGTTCCTTTATTCCTTTGAGATCCTGAGGTAAAATCTTTACATTTTAAGCATCAAAGACTGTTAGAATAGAATACAGATATATATTAGATTATATAGAATTTATTAAATTATTCCAAATCTAAATATATTTTTTAGAGGTGTGAAGGAGTGAGGAGTACCAGATGTCATGGTATTTTCCCTGGGCTAATGCTTACATGGGCAGGCTGAGGTGGTTGATAAGGCAAGAAAGCTAAAATAAATAAATAAATAAACCCCTCCCAGGAGTTTTGTTTCATCCCAAATTCATTCCTGTGCATTTCCTTTTAGGAAAAGGAAATCTCTTATTTTGTTAACCAAAGATTTACTTTCTATTTTTTTTCCTGGCTGTTGGAAGGAAGCAAAGACGAATTGACCCATGTCAATGTTTTAAATTCTTCTCACTTGTAAGAATCTAGGAGTAGTATCCAAATCAGATATCCTCAGTGTGTACGTAGAAAATAAGTGGAAGATCTGTTATAAAAATTTTCATTTCATTTGCTTTAGTAGAGGAATATAAACATTTTAAGGTTTGTTTGTTTTTTTTTTTTTTTCAGGCGGAATTCAAACTCTAAATAAAATAAATGGGGGATTACGGGTTTGGCGTGTTAGTGCAAAACAACACCGGGAATAAGTCAGCTTTTCCAGTCAGATTTCATCCACATCTGCAGCCTCCACACCACCATCAAAATGCAACCCCCAGCCCTGCTGCTTTTATAAATAACACAGCTGCCAATGGCAGTAGTGCTGGGTCAGCTTGGCTCTTTCCTGCTCCAGCTGCCCATAACATTCAGGATGAGATTCTGGGGTCAGAAAAATCTAAAACTCAGCAACAGGAAAAACAAGACTCCCTAGAAAAACAACAGCTTTCCCCTAGTCAAAGTCAGGAAACAGGCATGTTGCCTGATTCTGAGAAAGCTAAATCTGAAGAAAACCAGGGGGATAATTCTTCTGAGAATGGCAGTGGAAAAGAAAAAATAAGAATAGAATCACCAGTGTTAACAGGATTTGATTACCAAGAGGCTACAGGGCTAGGTACTTCAAGCCAGCCCTTGACATCTACTGCATCTTCTCTGACTGGTTTCAGTAACTGGTCAGCAGCTATAGCTCCTTCTTCTTCAACAATAATTAATGAAGATGCAAGTTTCTTCCACCAGGGAGGGGTTCCTCCTGCTTCAGCTAATAATGGTGCTTTGCTGTTTCAGAATTTTCCACATCATGTCAGCCCTGGTTTTGGGGGTAGCTTTTCCCCTCAGATTGGACCCCTCTCTCAGCACCACCCTCATCACCCCCATTTTCAGCATCATCACAATCAACATCAGCAACAGAGGAGGTCTCCTGCAAGCCCTCATCCACCTCCATTTACACATAGAAATGCTGCTTTTAATCAACTGCCTCACCTTGCTAATAATCTTAACAAACCACCTTCTCCATGGAGCAGCTACCAAAGCCCATCACCTACACCATCTTCTTCATGGAGTCCTGGTGGTGGTGCAGGATATGGTGGGTGGGGTGGGTCCCAAGGGCGAGACCACCGCAGGGGACTGAATGGAGGAATAACACCCCTGAACTCCATCTCACCCCTGAAGAAGAATTTCCCAAGTAATCATATCCAGTTGCAGAAGTATGCACGGCCTAGCTCCGCTTTTGCTCCAAAATCTTGGATGGATGACAGTTTGAATCGAGCTGACAATATCTTTCCTTTTCAGGTGAGATTTTCCTTGTAACAGTAATGTATGTGAATGTGCTAAAAAGTTGCATAATTGACAAAACTGTGCCTTTATTTCCATCATTAGAATTGTACAGTTGAGAATTCATTTTGAAAATGCACCTCTAGGACATAGATACCTTCTGACACTTCCAGTGCCACAATTTCTCATCTCTAAATCATGGGTGATCCATATTATGCTTTTCAGAGAAATAACTATAGCCAACTTGGCACATTTATTTTGTTGCTAGTTTGTTGTCAGATTAGTATACCTGATTTATAAAACATTAGCAAGAAATATGATTAAAATTGTTTTTACAAATGGGGTGAATAAAATAGTTCCCAGAACAGCTGAAAGTGTGAGTCCCCCTCTTTTTTAACCATATGGAAATAATGTTCTGTGTGCAGCTGAATCTTGCACCTAGTCTGGTTAAAAATACATTTGTAGCTTTGTAATGCAAAATTTCTATTTAATTTGGTGCAATGCTTCTGTTCTCTTTTAGATCACCTAAAGTTAGTTTTTTTAAAATGTTGAGTGAGTTTATTTTCTCCAGCAAGGTCAATAGATTTTAGTGGAAGATTATAAATAGTTACTAAAAATAGGTATACCCTGTTTCCTCAAAAATAAGACCTAACATGAAAATAAGCCCTAGTATGATTTTTCAGGATGCTTGTAATATAAGCCCTACCCCGAAAATAAGCCCCGGTTAAGTGAAACTCCTCCCTCCACCATTGTGCAGCAACCAGAAGAAGATGACATGACTGTATTTGAATAAATATAGATTGTTGTACAGTACATGAAAAAAATCCCCTGAAAATAAGCCCTACTGCATTTTTGGAGCAAAAATTAATATAAGACCCTGTCTTATTTTTGGGGAAACATGGTAGACGCACTCTGGGCATTGGCCTGTTCTATTCAAATGTGGCCTTCTGCTATGCACTTTAGATGTATTTGAAAATGTTCTCCTGTTTGTTTAAGTTAACAGCCATTAAAATCTTCCAGGCAAGCAGTATCATGAACATTTCCAACTTATTTTTCAGGTTATCTTTGGTCTATAATTAAATTTGCTGCTTACTTGTATTTTAGACAATATCTTGAAACCTTCAGGTACATGGATTCAAAGCAAAGATTGCAAAAATATTGTTGCATTTCTAGGCATTGTATACGTAGATAGATGGTGTGACCTAGTTTTGTTGTAATTTGAAATGGAAAAACTGGTACATGAGAAGAATAGAAAATCAGTGTTAAATACTGTCTTGAAGTATAATGCAGTTTAAAATCTAGTAGTGCTGGTGAGGGGACTGATATTTCTGGTTTTATCTTGTACATCTGGCACATACAACTCTTTGGTAAGCTTACTTCTATTAGTGAGGCTGTTTCAGTTCATGTTACATAGTCAGAAATCTTGAAATAATTTTGAAGACTGGAAGCAGAAGACTAAATTTAACATTTGAAACCATTAGCAGAAGAAATCATCTGAAATTGTGCAGGCGGTAGGGAGGCACTGAGTCTCACTGCAGCAAGACTTAGCTCTGTATTTTATTCATTCTGGTAACGCAGAAAGAGCTACACTGTGTCAGGAAAAAATTGTGTCCTTGCTCCTTTTATGAAGGTCTCAAATCTATGACGTCTAGAGATAGGTTTTAATTTTGTCATATAGACATAACATTTCTTTGTTGCTACACTTTGGGTTATGTTACTAGTCTTAATATGTGTTTATTTTGATATTTCATTGTGGTAGAAACATAATTTGCAGCAGTGTGTTGGTGTCGCTTTATGCCGTAAACTGAAAGCCATGTGAGGATCATATGTGACACAATTTTAGGCCTAACAAAAGCAGGATTTTAATGAAATGCCCAAATTGTTGCTAGTGCTAAGCAAGTCAAGCGTAGGGCATCAAAAGAAGAACTCAGCATTATGGATCCAGAAAGTTCTCACATTTGCCTTTGTCAGTATGAAATCTATGGTGTTTTTCCTCTCTTCACATATAAAATTTTGGGAATGGTTCCTTTCCAATATCTAAAAACTAATCTGTTGATCTTTAGTGTTCAGGTGAACAAGCAAGGTATATACATGATCAAAGTGTGTGCAGATATGTGATTATGAAACTTCACAGAAATGAAGAACTGTAAATACAGCAATATAATTTTTTTTCTCTGGAACTCCTTGTAAAACTGCTTGGGTCCATGTTTAATATTGCTGAACGTTCTATCTATGTAGAAACAGAAGGGCTCAAGTGTTTGCTTGATTAACCCCCTTCACTGATCTCTTCTTATTTTATCATTAATTCACAAGCAGTTTCCTAATATGAAAGCAGTTGGCTCCTTTTTGTAAAGAGAGGTTTCTCAATGTTTATATAGCTATAATAATCATGACATTCTCTTATAGAGATACTGGGCTTGTCGCCATGTATTTTGTATACAGATCACATATTTGTAAAATTTAAAAGGTTCTTTGGAGCAGTACAGAACTGTTTTCTTTTTAAAGGATAGTGCCTAGTGTTCATGAAGATAACTGATAAGAGCTGGCTTTAAGTGTAGGTCCTTTCCTGTGCTTCTGTTCATTCCACTGTAATATAATGCATATAAATGGATAGTTTTGTAACCACCACCAATAAAACAGGATAGTAACTGAGTGCTCTTGAAAAAGTCCTATGGCTAGTGTGGAACCTGGGTCTTAGAGTTACAGTATGGTATTATTAATTGGTCTTGTGTCAGCATTTGGCATAAGTTCCTCTGTTACAGAACAGGAATAAAGATTCCATGCTGAAGAGTAGCTGAGGGGGAAATAGTACTCACTGTGAGTGGCATGGCAGTCCATAGGACAAAACTAGGAATGCTAATTGCCAGGGAATACGTCCAGTAACAAATAGAATCCTGCTTTCAACAGTAGGTGTTGATGATCCTCTACCACTGATTTTTCTATGTGAGATATTCCAGTGTTGCATGAGAGAACACAGAGGAGTTCCACAAACTCTATTATTCAGCTTTTGATGAAACTTAGAGGCCCCTTGGTGCTGTGAAAGTGAGCAAAATATTGGTGAGCTGTTAAGATGTTTGAAAACATTCTGGTAGAGAACTAATCTGATGCTTTTATAATGCAGCAGTGCAAACTGGTATTTGGACTATTGCAATTGAAGCTGCTCTCCAGACGTCGAATGTAAATCCATATACATGCATGCACACGCACAGAGTGGAACAGTTATACTTACTCTCTATGGCCTGTAGTATTTGCTGTCTAAAGAACAGATAAAGGATAGATAGCAGCTGCACACTAATGTTTGATTTTCATTCTTATCCATTTGCCTCCGTAGTAGCTTTTTAAAGATGCAAGGCAGTGTGGATTGTTCTATTTTGGATACAGTCTGGGATTATAAAGCAGTTATGTATAAATTTATGTCTTTGAAGCCATTATTACCTGGATAGTAAAAGGAGAAGACAGCTATATGCAGAGCCAGTATAATCTGCAGCACAGCTCCATTTCAGAAACCCAGTGCAAGGCTGGGGCACATTCTCCCTTTTGTTTTAAAGAGCCTCTAGTGTTGTCAGTAGTAGTACACACAGATGCATCTGATACGATAGTGCATGATATTTGTGGCCTAGTATGGCGGTTGGTAGTTACTCATATTGTTAGGCCTGTTTTCTGTTGCTGTGAATATTTAGTTCTTGGGATAACATCATAATAGTTAGAAAAGAAGATGACCAAGTGATACCTGCTAGCAAAGTGGCTGTTAAAAAAATTACAATTTCAGAAATGTTGCCTGATCTGATTTAAATATTCCCTCAACTATCTTTGATTATGTGATCTGCTGAAAATTCGCAGAATAGTAAAAAAATCAGTATATTTTACTGAGGAGATATATAAAAATGCTTTGACTATTTGAAAGTGCTAAGTAAACATAGTGGTTGCATTTGCACAACACAGCAAGGTGGAATTCAAGCTTACCAGAAATGAGGCAGTTTTGTTTTGCAACCTGCCTTGTTGCTCCTGCTTGTAAGTGGAAGTGGCTGAAGGAACTGCTCACTGCCTACGAATGTCCAAACCAAGGACTCTGGGTTGCCTTTCTCCTGATTATGATTAGGACTTATTATGAATTCAGACATCCATATAAGAAAACTGTGGACAGAAATCTGAGGGTTTTCTGCCTTAGCACGCAATGGCACTTTTCCTTGTTCCCAGGAAGTTTTGGAGTGCTGTGCAAACATAGCCTATGTGGAAAAGCAGAATGTACATAATCACATAAATATCACATTCTATTTCTTTGCAATCTTTCTATTTTCTTAAAAAAAGAGACCAGAAGTGTTTTTTTTTTAAATAGACTTTTAAAAAACGACCTGGTTGCTTCAGCTACAGATCAGTTTTACTGCACATCTGTTTAAAAAACTCTGTTGGTTAGAGCTTTCATCAGGAATTTGTGCTCCAAATTTCAATTTAGAGTGTAGTATCTGATTAATGATTCCCTAAAGATAAGATATTTATTTTATTTAAAATGTTTTTGGCTTGCCTTCTCAAAAAAGACGAAAGGCAGCTTATATGATTAAACTACAATATTTAAAGCTAAGAACAGTAAGTATACAAATATTAAATAGGACTAAACAAATACCACACTAAAAAAAGGAAAACAAAAAATACTAGTTTTTCCTATTTTGAAGGGAATAAATCGCAGTAGTTAAGAAATATTACCAGGCTGCTTTTTTAAAAATCCATTTGCCTTTGTTTCAAAAAGATCTCATTGCCTTTTTGTTGCTTTAGTTTTTTGGATCACTAATATATAATGGGGTTGCATATTGTTGTTGGTTTTTGCTGGTGCACACTGCCTTTAATTTGCAAACACTTGCTTCCTGCTGTGTGCTTCCTTGTAGAAGTGAAACACCCTGCTTGTTTTGTAATAAAGAGGTTAAGGTTGAAAAAGGAAGATATCCTTAATGATTGGCAAAAGGTATTTTTCCAAGTGTGTACTTATGCGTATTGCAGTAATCTGCAGCAATTTTAAATACTTG